ATAATTTACCTACAAAAAGAAGATCAATTCTTTTTAGGTACCCAAACTTGCTTGGGTCCTTGTAGGTTAGTCACCAAGGTCTTTGGTACCCAAATGACATTCTTCTTTGGGCCCACAATTGGTGTACCAATGAACTTAGCCTTCACACCATTTGCACCCTTAAAAAGCATGTAACAAGAATCAAATTTAATTGAGGATACATTAGGTAGCTTGTTCTTGTTAGTCTTGCAATTTTGCTCTATATACCCAACTTGCTTGCATCTATTGCAAAACTGACCATTGCCCTTCACAAAGCTAGCTTTGGGAGTGACAAAGGCCGTCTTGCCTTTCTTGGGGGCATAGCCTAATCCCTCTTTGTTGAGAGAAAACCTTTGGCTACCCAAGCACTTTAGCAAGTGGGCATCTCCACCATAGGCATTGCCTAAGGCACGAGTGAGCTCATTCACCTCCTTCTTGAGGGTTTTATTTTCCACCATTAGTGATGTATCATTCATAGGTGGAGTGGTAATGGTTGTGCTACAAGAAGTGTTAGTAGGAGCAACAATAATGGGTTCATGAAAAGATTCATCAATAAGATCACATGTTAGTCCCACATCACATGTTACTATCACTTGCTCCTTCTTGGCTTCCTCCTTCTTGACTTGCTCAATGAGAGAGGAGTGAGCCTTTTCAAGCTTAGAGTGAGCTTTGCCAAGCTTCTCATGGGCATCCATTAGCCCCTCATGAGTGGCATTGAGCTCATCAAAGGATTGTTCAAGAAATTTGACTTGCTCACACATGTCCAAGAGCTCCTCCTTGGTGTACTCCTCATCCTCATCATCATCATCATTATCATTCCTACAAGAGTCACTTTCACATTCATCATCATCACTCTCATCATATTTTACCTTAGTAGGCTTTGCCATGAGGCATGTCGATGGAGTGTCGAAGATAGAGGGCTTGTTGTTGATGGCGATGCTTGCTAGTGCTTTCTTGATAGATTTCTTGCCATCATCACTAGAATCATCACTATCCGAAGAGCCATCACTATCCCATGTGACCACATAGCCTCCACCCTTCTTCTTTTGAAAGGCTATTCTCTTCTTCTTCTTCTCCTTCTTTTCTTTCTTGTCCTTCTTGTGTTTGTTCTTCTCATCTTCATCATTGTCACTATTATAAGGACAATTTGCTACAACATGATCAGGGCTCTTGTAATTGTAGCATCTTCTCACATATTCTTTGCTCTTTGTGTGATCTCTTCTCTTTCTTGCTCCATAGCCCTTCTTCTTCATGAACTTGCCCATCTTGCGCACAAAGAGAGCCATAGCCTCATCATCAATATCACTTAGATCCTCATCATCACTTGATTCTTTCTTGGACTTGCCCTTGTTTTTGTATGATGATGAACTAGCCTTGAATGCTATGCTTTTCTTCTTCTTGTCTTCTTCTTCCTTCTTATCATCCTTGTCATCCCCTTCCATTTCCACACGGTATGTCTCATGTGTCATGACATCACCTAATACTTGGTTAGGGGTGATATCCTTTAATCCTCCTCTTATGATAAGCAATATCAACATCTCAAACCTTGGAGGTAGGCACATCAAGAATCGATGAGAGACATCATCATCCTTGATCTTCTCTCCCAAAGCCTTCAAGTCATTGACAATCACTTGTAATCGATAGAACATCTCCGGAATGCTCTCATCTTCCTTCATCTTGAAGCTTGTCAACTTGTCCTTGAGAATATACAACTTGGCACTCTTCACCGCCGGTGTGCCCTCATATGTTTCCTCCAATCTCCTCCACACTTCATTTGCTCTTTCACAATCCTTGATCTTCTCAAACACCTTTGGATCAATGGCATTGTATAAGGTGTTGAGAGCCATTGTATTGCATTGCTTGTTGGACTTATCTTGGTTGGTGGGATTGTCAGGATCAATGATAGCATAATCATTCTCGGTTACATCCCATACTTGATCATTGATTGAACCAAGATACACCCTTATCTTTCTCTTCCAATAACCATAGCTTGTGCCATCAAAGAAAGGTGGTTTGCCCCCCACATGGTTGAACACAACTTGAGCCATAATTTGACACCGAGGTTGTTAAGCCTTTAATCACACGGTGACCACGGCTTTGATACCACTTGAAAGGTCCTAATATGGCTAGAGGGGGGTGAATAGCCAATTTAAAAATCTACAAATCAACTAGAGCAATTTGATTAGTATGACAAATAGCGTAATGCAAACTTGCTCTAGCTCTACAAAGGTTGCAAGCCACCTATCCAACAATTCTAGTTGTAATGATTACTTAGGTACACAAACTTGCTATGTAACTACTCACTAAGAGCTCTCAATCTTGCTACTCTAAAGAGTTCAAAGAGATGAATGTAAATAATAAAGCAAGCTCTCAATTCTAATTACACTAAAGAGCTTGTATCAACTAGTTTGCAAGAATGTAAATAAGTGAGTAGGGTGATTATACCACCGTGTAGGGGATAAACCAATCACAAGATGAATATATAGCCAATCACCGGGAGAATGCCCAAGACAAGAGACAATCGATTTTCTCCCGAGGTTCACGTGCTTGCCAACACGCTACGTCCCCGTTGTGTCGACCAACACTTGATGGTTCGGCGGCTAAGAGGTGTTTCACAAACCTCATCCACACGATAGGACACCGCAAGAACCGACCCACAAGTGAGGTAACTCAATGACACGAGCAATTTACTAGAGTTACCTTTCGGCACTTCGTCGGGGAAGGTACAACTCCCCTTACAATCACCGGAGATGGCCACGAACAATCACCAACTCATGCCAATCCTCCACCGCTGCTCCAACCGTCTAGGTGGTGGCAACCACCAAGAGAAACAAGCAAAACCCACAGCGAAACACGAATATCAAGTGCCTCTAGATGCAATCACTCAAGCAATGCACTTAGATTCTCTCCCAATCTCACAATGATGATGGATCAATGATGGAGATGAGTGGGAGAGCTTTGGCTAAGCTCATAAGGTTGCTATGTCAATGAAAATGGCCAAGAGAGTGAGCTTGAACCGGCCATGGGGCTTAAATAGAAGCCCCCACGAAATAGAGCCGTTGTACCCTTCACTGGGCACAACACGGGGTGACCGGACGCTCCGGTCATATTGACCGGACGTAGGACCCCAGCGTTCAGTCCTCAGATCTTCGCCACGTGTCATCGGCTTCAAACGCCGATCGCCCGATCTCAACGGTCAAGAGATGACCGGACGCGTCAGTTAGAAAGTGACCGGACGCTGGACCTCAGCGTCCGGTCGTTTCCAATAAGCTCCCAAAACTGACTTTTGCCGACCGGACGCGTCCGGTCCACCTCGACCGGACACTGCACAGCGTCCGGTGCAATACCCTAGGTACTGTGCCGACATGTCAGTCCGACCGGACGCAGTCCTTCAGCGTCCGGTCAGTTGACCGATGCTAACATCTTTGCGACCAACTCCATTTCACTTCTAACTTCTCCATCCTTGCTCAAATGTGCCAACCACCAAGTGTATCACCTTGTGCACATGTGTTAGCATATTTTCACAAACATTTTCAAGGGTGTTAGCATTCCACTAGATTCTAAATGCATATGCAATGAGTTAGAGCATCTAGTGGCACTTTGATAACCGCATTTCGATACGAGTTTCACCCCTCTTAATAGTACGGCTATCAATCCTAAATGTGATCACACTCGCTAAGTGTCTCGATCACTAAAACAAAATGGCTCCTACAATTTATACCTTTGCCTTGAGCCTTTTGTTTTTCTCTTTCTTCTTTTCCAAGTTTAAGCATTTGATCAACACCACGCCATCACCATCGTCATGATCTTCGCCATTGCTTTATCACTTGGAGTAGTGCTACCTATCTCATAATCACTTTGATAAACTAGGTTAGCACTTAGGGTTTCATCAATTAACCAAAACCAAACTAGAGCTTTCACCCATCCTTGTGGCCGGTGGACGCCGAGTTGGAGGAGCCGCTGGAGTTGTCGCCGTGAGTCACAGCGAGGGCCTGGCCAGCTTTGGTGTTGGCGTCGTGCTGAGCGTTGAGCTCCTCGAGGATGAGGAAGGAGCGGGCGCTCTGGAAGGAGTGCGGTGGGTACTTGGACGTGATCACCGGCTAGACGTAGCGGTACCGGGGATTGAGTCCACGGAGGAGGTTGAGCACCTGACTCGGCTTGGAGACGGGATGGCCGATGTCGTGCAGCTGATCCGCGACCCGCTTCAGCTTGGTGCAGTAGTCATTCATGGACATGTCGCCGTGCTGCAGGGTGCGCGGCTCGGTCTCCAGGTACACGGCACGCCGCAGCTCGTTGTCCTGGAACAACCCTTTGACGGCATGCCACAGGGAGAAAGCGTTGTGGCGATCGCGGCGAATGATGTCGAAGACGCCCTTGGAGACGGTGGCGAGGATTCAGTTGACGACGCAGGAATCAACCCTGCGCCACTCGCCATCGCGTTCCTGGGACGGGGTGGGGGAACGAACGTGGCCCTCGAGCCTGAATTTGCCGAGGGTGGAATCGAAGAAGTGGCGCCACTGCCTGTAGTTCCCCTCGTCCATGTCGAGGATGACAGGGACGTGGTGGCGGATGGAGATGCCCTGGATCGCAGAGGCGACGGCGGGGGCGACAGAGAGGTTGTCATCCGGAGAAGAGTCGGAGTGGTGGGAGGAGGGCGCCATTGGAGCAGCGGAAGAAGATGTGGCGAAGGGATGCTCTGATAGAACCATGGACTCTGATACCATGTAGAGTTGTATTGATCAACTTGACAGCTTCTATTGATCATACAATGTGTACATATATAGATTACAATCGTGGCCTTTGGCCAAGCCAGTACATGCGAGACGTTACATGCGAGAGCGGGCGAGCGCACAGAGCGGGAGTGTGGGCGCCGTGGAGACCGGGCTCGCGTGGACGCGGATCCAGTTGTGGGCGCGGCGAGTGCGCGCGGAGACGCGACGAGTGCGCGCTGGGCATTGTGATCCGAACGACCCGGTCTGGCTTTAGCCGTTGCAGAGCTGCTTCCGCTGACAGGAGTGACCGCTGGCGGCGGCGGCGCTGATGGTCCATGGGGAAGAAGACCTGCAACTGCAAGAGGGATCATCATCAATTACAAACTTTTCAGTGGGTTTGAAATCCCTGGCACGAAGGGAAAAAAGGCAAAATGTGCAAGCAAGCGCGTAATGGAGATCGCGTGCGTACCAGTACGACAGGCACGGGACGCGAGGCTCAAATGGGAGGACTTTACCTGCGCAGGAGCCGGTGGCGGGCGGGAGGTCGAGGCGGCAGAGGCGAGGCATCGCCATCACGCGCGTCATGTTGACGGCGACGGGGGCCGTGCTGGGGTTGCTGAGAGCCTGGCAGAGGCACTGCGGCTCGTCGTGCACCATGCTGCCCAGGTTGGCGCAGAAGGTGTCCGCCGGCACGGCGGAGGTGCCCTCGATGAAGGGCAGGTACGGGAGGAGGTGGAAGAGGTCGGTGCTGCAGGTGGACGTGCCGCCCTGGGGCACCGCGCGGACGCCGGCGACGGAAACCAGCAGCAGCAGCAGCAGCAGCGCGACGCAGAACGCAGGAGCCGAGGCCATTGCTTCTCACTAGCTGATCCTTTTTGTTCTGGAAACTGGAAGAAATTATATTGTTTTCTTGATTTGTTCTTGTGGTGATTGGTTGCAGTGGATTTATAGCATCGGAGCAACGGCGATGCACGGTAATGGTGTGTTCCTGAGCTGGGGCTGGGACCTGGCATGCATGGCGGGCGGGCTGGCGGCTGCTTGGCAGATTCGCGTGACGCCCTGCATGGAGGCTGGAGAGTTTCGCGTGAGCCGCTGCGGCGTTAGGATTCGATCGGTGGAGTAGCCGGCAAAATGGCCAACGGGCAATGAAGCACAGGGATGGTGTGCTTCAGTGCTTGTACGTCGCCGGGTCGTGTTCCATGTGCGTGCCATGTGAACTGCTGTCTATCTTACCGGCTTGTTGAAACTGCTGAATGCAGATCACTCAGTCGGTTGGCAAAAACTTTCATCTAATAAACTAGGTTGCGAAATGAGGGGCCTGTTTGGCAGGACTGAAAAATACTGTTCCGGCTGATTGTTGTGAGAGAAAAATACTGTTCTGCCAGGACATAAACAGTGATTTCGTGAGAGCGAGAATCAGCCAGCCAGCTGGCTTAAAGCCAGCCGAACGGGCTCGAGGTAACTGTCTTACCAAACTTTAGCAAGGTGTAAAAAACAACCAAACTTTTGCAAAGCGAATTTTGGCCCTCCACAATGAACTGTTCTCAGACCCTCAGTTCTCACTTCTCACACCATTGAGATTGGGTTATTTTGATTGGTACCATTACAATTTTCGAAATTTTGAGAACTACCATTACTATTCACCTATTTTGAGATGAGCCATTACAATTCTTCGGCACTCTGAAATATACCATTATATACGTTCGGGGAGACCTTGGGCCCAGCTGCAGGTGTACATGACGTCATCATATTTTTGAATGGACAAGACTACCCCTCCACCTTCATCTCTATATGTCACTGACGTGTGGACCCCACTGATCATCACCTTCCTCCTTCCCTGTCTTCTTCCCCTAGCTCCCTGTGCTAGCTGTGCCGTGAGGCGCTGCCAGCCCGGCCCCACGCGACAGCAGGAGCAGCCGTTCTTCCCCGCTGCTCTGCATCGCGCGGACGCCGTCGATTCACCCTTGTGCGCTTCACTAGGATCCCCGCCGCCTATTTAAGGAAGGTCTCAAGTGCGCTGCGCCCCTCTCGGAACCCTAGGGCAACCGCAACCGCCACCGGTAGCCCTAGCGCGCCGCCGCCATAGCTGCACCCCCGAGCTCGGCGCCGCCGCCGTCGATCTACGCCACGGCCACGCCTCAGTTGACTATAGAAGGTTCACGAGCTTCGCAGCGACCTGACGAACCCGCCAGTATCGATCTCTCCCTCCCTCTCTCTCTGTTGTGCGCACGTGCTCGCCGAAGTATCGCCGCCGTGTCCGGTCCGCCGCGCCGCGTCTACTGCCGGCTCCGGCAATTCCCCACCGCGGGGAGGTACCCCGCCGAGTTTGCAGCCCCACGAGCTCCGCTCTCGTGCCGACCGCGCAGGTTCTAGTGCCCCACAGTGCCACCCCGGTGTGCTCGCCGCCGCTGTGCTACCCTGTGAGCGAGGCCTCGAGGTCCCCGGCGGCGAGCGGCAGTGCCCCACGGACGGGCAGGTGGCGGAGCCCGGCCTCGACCCGCGCGGTTCCTGCGTGCCCGTGAGGCAGGCGGCCGCGGCGTGTCGTCTTCGTCGGAGTCGGGCTCGTCCGCCTCCAGGATGGAATCAACGGCGGCGGCTGGTGGAGGAGGCAAGAGGTCGGACGTGAGCGAGTGGTGGTTGTCGAAGCCGAAGAAGATGCAAATCATGTCGACGGCGGTGTTTATGGAGCTAGCGAGCGAGTTGACGATGTGCTACGTCGCCGCGATCCCCTTCTCCTGTCCTCGGCTGTTGCGAGCTACGGGGACGAGGCTGGCAACAAGCGGTGCGGCTAACGCAGGCTCCGGCGTGGGCGCTTGGTCGGTATGCTGCAGAGGGAAGAAGACGGGGAAGGAGGAAGAAGATGACAGACGGGACCTACACGGCAGTCATATGGACGAAGAGGAGGACAGAGGGGTACTCTTGTCAATACGAAAATACGTTGGTCTGCATATGGGCCCAACAGCATCCAAAGCGTATATAATGGTATATTTCAGAGTCCTGAAGAATTATAATGGCTCATATCAAAATAGGTGAATAGTAATGGTAGTTCTCAAAATTTCGAAAATTGTAATGGTATCAATCAAAATAACCCATTGAGATTTGCGCGAGAGATGTTGGGCTCTCTGGCTCTCTCTTTTCGGATCGAACAGTGTTGGGCTCTTCATGTTTGGTTACGAGCGCATAAACGAAGCCCATGTTTGCTTGTTGGGCCTCAGGTGGATCCAACAACGTTGGACTCTTCATGGACCATGTTTGCTTGTTGGGCCGCAGGAGTCGGTTCTCTCGACCTGCCAGTCCAAGATCTGCTAGGCGGTGAACACTGAACTTTTTTTCAAAATATCAGTGAACACTGAACTGAGCCTTGCCATATTTATGGGTGCGTAGCTGACATACTTTAGGACTAAATAATGTGATTTAACATGCTCTTTATGTCATCATTATCGCCAACGGATCAGCCACCGAAATCAACACGGCACCACTTGGAAACGCATAAAGAAAGCTTTGCTCTGCACAGTACCTAGTCCTCCGTCACAGCTGTGGCTTCTTTTCCCGGAGAGGAGTAGAGGACGGTACTACTGCTTCTCATGACCAGGGGATGGTACATTGGTACTGGTGTACAAGTCATGCTTACAGCATGGAGTAGAAGTCAAATACTCAAATGGTATACAGGTATCAGCAAGTCATCTCAACTTTGGTAACCCACCAAATCATGCGACTACTTGTTGATGCGGCTGTCACCATTGATGGAGAAAGGAGAACTGTCCTATCGTATCTGATTTGGGGAGGTCGACGACATGGACATATACCCATCGGCGCAAGCCCAGCAACCTTTGTACACGCATCATCTCTGCTTACAGTCCTTGATTAGCTTTCTGTGGCTCTCAGTCTCAGTTAAAGCTGAAAAAGAGCCCTAAAACCTGCTTAACAAATGTGATTTAGTATGCTCATGAAGCCTGTGGTTCCTTCCTCTTTTTTCCCCTTTTGCTGCCAATTTTCGTTGCTGTTTTTGCCTTATTTGTAACAACATTCTTCAGATGAACCTGGAGCAAGAACCTGGCAATCCATGCTGTGCAAGGATACTGGAGGGCTTGAGGCCCTTTGGCGGTACTCAATTCCAACCACGGCAAAGGCCCCACACTTTATGCTAGATGCCACCAATCCAACAACACACAGGGCCAGGGTATGGTACAGTTTATAAATACAACTCCTGACACGCAGTAAGACCAATTCAAATGTCTGAGATCAGGAGCATTGAATCATTTCCAGGTCACAGATAATAATGTGGTTTTCGGATCAGCAGTACGATGGGGGTAATGCTGAAGGTGCAGGGGGACCAGGGCAGCCTTGGGGTAAAAAACAAGTCTGCAGGTCACACAACAAACATACAAAGGGACAGGTGAACAAATACAACTGCAGGGAACAATATGAAACGGTGTGAATTTCTGTGCTAAATTGTTCTTTTTACGAGTTTGAAACTGAGTACTAACGGATCTTGGTACGGGATAAGGTCGCACTTGTGTCCATCTATCTGATCATAGTTAGACCTCGTTTGGATCAACTATTTTTTCTGAGCCGTAGTAGCTGGGCATCTAACAATTTTTTGTAAGTTGGGTGTTCGAATAGTTTAAAATGGGACACAATCTCATTTATAAGCTGAGATGTTTGGATCAGAGCTAGTTTTTTTTTTTTTTTTGCAGTTAGCAACTTATTTTAGTCAATCATAACATGGCCTTAGTAGTACCGAACTTATGCTTAACTGGAAGCGACTTTGGTACTCCCTCCATCCCAAATTATAAGTCATTCCAAGAATCTTGGAGAGTCAAAGTTTTTCAAGTTTGACCAAATTTATATAACAAAATAATAATATTTATCATACCAAGTAAGTATCATTAGATTCTTCATTAGTTATATTTTCATATTATACCTATTTGATGTCATCAATCTTTGTGTTTCTCTCTATAATTTTAGTCAAATTTAAAAAAGTTTGACTCTCTAAAATTTTTGGAATGACTTACAATTTGGGATGGAGGGAGTATTACCGTAGCAGGAGTGTAGGACCGTAGGAGTACCGACGATGCATGCTCAGGCAGGCAGGCTGTCAACCATTTCCTAAATTCTAAGGTAATATTCCGTACTAGCTATCTGTTAATCTTGTTCTGAAAATATCAGGAAAAGATCCCTAGAGTTTTCTCAACGGAAGTTTAGCAATTACTGTAGTATCCAAGACAAAAGCCACAACAATGCCGTCAGTCCGTCACTACACTGCCGCGCCGCGCGCACCTGCCACTATGCTCAACGATTGTCAGTTTCCTTGGAGTAGCATTGACGCTCGCTACACAAGCTTTGGCTGGCCTCGCTGCCGCCGCAGCCGCGTCGCCAATGCCTGTATGATTGTATTGTCTCTCACGCTCACAGCCTTCGCAGCTTTCTTCCCGAGTCCAAACCAAACAGCACTCCACTCTGGTCTCCCACCATTGATCCACTCCGTCCACGGCCCCTTGAAATGGTCTGATGATGCCTGCAACCATGTCCAGTCTCTCCAGACGCCGCCTGCTCTGCCTCTTCTTGATCGCATGCCTCGCCGCTCTTCTTTTCTCGATCGCCGGCAGCGCCGGGAAGACCAAGGGAACTGACAATGGCGACTCGAGGTTCAGAGTGCTGCGTGGTCTTGACACCCTCGGCCGAAGGCAGAAACAGCGTCACGGTCACGGCCATGGAATCTCTCCGGCCCCGGCTCCGGCGCGTGCCCGCTTACCTCTGCTCCACAAGGACGCGCGGCTGCCGGTCCCCGGGGAAGTCGCCCACAACCATAAGAGAGGAGGAAATGCCACCACGGCACCGAGGCAGAGCCCGCCGCGCGACGGGGGAGGCGAACGCGGAAGCAAGAAGAAAAGTATGCCGCTGGTCGTCGTCGCCGCGACGGCCGCGCTATCGGGTGCGGCGCTGGTGCTCCTCGCCGTCCTGGTGGTGTTCCTGACGTGCAGGAAGTTCCAGGGCAGGCGCGGAGGCGGCGGCGACCAGAGCGGCGGCACCAACAAGGTGAGCTTCGAGCCCGGCCCGGGCATGTTCTACCTGGACGCCATCAAGCCGTACCTCGACGACGCCGGCCGCGACGGCGGGGGAAAGGCGGCGCCGGAGATGGCCGGGACGAAGGACGAGGAGCCCAGGCGCGATGACGAGGAAGGCGGCGGAGCTTGCTCCGACGACGACGGCGCCGAGTCGGTCCACTCGTGCTGCTTCCACTCGTCGCATTTCTCCTACTCCGAGCTCGCGAAGGGCGGCCAGGCCGACGGCGTGTCGCCGTCGCCCTCCGTCCGGTCCAAGCGGCGGGGCTCTGCTCCGACGACACCTTCGGACAAGACGAAGGCTGTGGGCCCGTATTCGCCGCTGGGCCCACGCACGCCGAGCAGTGGGGAGCGGGGCCGCCGCGCGCACTCTCCGTCGAGCACGTCGGTGTCCGTGTTGACGGAGCAGTCGTTCAATGATCATGAGCTCCAGGGAACCGCTCATTCCGTCAGGTCTCTGAAATTCCAGAGCGGCGGCGCGTGCCACGCAATAGAAGCAGGAGCAGAGGCAGATGCCGCAAGTAGAAAAACAGCGCCACCTCCACCGCCGCCGCCGCCGCCACCGGTGATGGTTAAACAGCAGCAGAACGTTCAGATGAGCTGTGGTGGTCCGGCCGTTCCCCCACCGCCGCCGCCTCCGCCACCGCCACTGCTAATTCCACAACGACAGAATGCTCAGAGGATCAATGGCCCCATCCTCCCGCCGCCGCAGGCACCACCGCCGGGTCTGTTCAGGCAGACGGCGCCTGTGGGCAAGAACGGCGCGCCGCTGCCCAAGCTGAAGCCCCTGCACTGGGACAAGGTGCGCGCCGCGCCCAACCGGCGGATGGTGTGGGACAGGATCCGCTCCAGCTCGTTCGAGTAAGTTTGAATCGCCTTCGCTTGCCGCGCGCACTCTGCCCCTGTTACTGTGATCACGAACGAATTCGAAACGTAACCGCTGCTTGGTTGGCGCTTCGCAGACTGGACGAACAGATGATCGAGTCGCTGTTCAGGTACAACGCCGCCGCGAGGTGCTCGGCGAAGCTCGAGGAAGGCCAGAGCCGGAGCCCCTCGCTCGGACACCATGTCCTGGACCCCAAGAGGCTGCAGAACATCACCATCCTGATGAAAGCCGTGAACGCCACCGCCGACCAAATCTACGCCGCGCTGCTGCAAGGTACTTTAACTAGTAATGAACTGCGCGAAACAAAACTTTGCTGATCTTTGTCTCGATCGTCTTTTACATGGTTTTGTCGGGTCGGTTCAGGGAACGGCCTGTCGGTGCAGCAGCTGGAGGCACTGTTCAAGATGGCGCCCACCAAGGAAGAGGTCGAGAAGCTCGAGAGCTACGACGGCGACGTCGGCAGCCTGGTCGCGGCGGAAAGGCTCCTCAAGGTGGCGCTCACGATACCGTGCGCGTTCGCGCGCGTCGAGGCCATGCTGTACCGGGAGACCTTCGCCGATGAAGTCAGCCACATCAGGAAGTCGTTCGCGATGCTCGAGGTGGGCAATCCTGACTCCTTGAGCTCCCAGCGACGACCGGTGTTTGTACCAATTCTACTCGTAACCGTATACTAACGCCCACGTGTGAATGTTGTTCTTGTCGTCTGAAAGGACGCGTGCAGGGAGCTGATGTCGAGCAAGCTGTTCCTGAAGCTGCTGGAGGCCGTGCTGAAGACTGGGAACCGGATGAACGTCGGGACGACGCGGGGCGGCGCCATGGCGTTCAAGCTGGACACTCTGCTCAAGCTCGCCGACGTCAAGGGCACCGACGGGAAGACCACGCTGCTGCACTTCGTGGTCCAGGAGATGGTCCGCTCCCAGAAGCCACCACCTACGCGCGCTGCGGAGGGGCCGGACATCGTGACCGGGCTCGCCGCCGAGCTCACCAACGTCAGGAAGACGGCGACCGTCGACCTGGACGTGCTCACCACCTCGGTGTCGAGCCTCTCGAACGGCTTGTCCCGGATCAAGGCGCTAGTGGGGACGGACCAGCTGGCAGGCGACGAGAAGGGCCAGCGCTTCGTCGCCTTCATGGCCCCGTTCGTGAGCCAGGCTGAGGAGGTGATCCGGGAGCTGGAGGACGGCGAGCGCCGGGTCCTGGCGCACGTCAGGGACATCACCGAGTACTACCACGGCGACGTCGGCAAGGAGGAGGCCAGCCCGCTCCGGATCTTCGTCATCGTCAGGGACTTCTTGGCGATGCTGGAGAGGGTGTCCAAGGAGGTGAGGGGAGCCAGGGGTTGCCACGGATCAAACCAAACGCTACCCTGAACAGCTTGTGCCCGATACTGCAGAAACGGGGAGAGAACAACACTGTAATTCTTGGTTTTGCGTTGTTCTTGGTCTTGGCAAGTTAGAAATGCATTCGTTGTAGTTCAGAAACATCTCTCGCGTCGCGTCTTTCATTTTCACCGTGCATTCGTGAATAGCGTAGCCTTAACGATCATAGGAGCTGATCAGTTCCACAGAATCTGATGCTTCAAAGCTCACACTAAACAAAAGTCTGAAACTGTGTTAGGGAAGAGAAAATGGCGATTCTGCCTTTATGAAAAGTGGACTTCGCACGTTTGCCATCCCGCAAATGGGATTCGTCCGTTTGCCATTATCAAACGAGGCACACCCGCTAAAATGCCCTACGACGGATTTATTGCCAAATTAATTTTTTTTTGCCGCGGCATATTTTCCTTCCCGTTTTGCCCCTCGGCCTTATCCCTTCCTTCCTTTTCATTCACGGACGTTCACGGACGGGAGAGAGACGAGACGGAGACGACTCCGCTAGGTGAAGCGAGGAGAGGGAACGGCTCCCCGCCATTCTTGCCCACCACCGCCGCCGCCCTCCGGCCGTCGCCGGCAGAGACACCTCTGGTCGTTTCCCGGTTACCACCACCTCCCGACGCAGCGTCGCGCCAAAGCCGCCGCCAACCGTCGCCGCCGACCGTCTGCGCCACTGCCGCGTCCTCGCCCGACCGTCGCGCTAAGCGGCGCCAAGATTGTCTGCCGCCACGCCACGCGCTAGGCGCGCCGCCGCCGATTCATCATCATCGCGCCGGTAGGAACTGGACCGAAGCCCGATGAAGGTAACCTCGACGGGCTCGAGCGCAACGGGTAGCGGCAGTAGTGAGTGCCCCTTTTGCCATGTTCCATTGATCCGGATCCAGAGCAAGCAGCCGACGACTTTGGGCGAGTGGTATCTCAACTGCCCGTACAACATCAAGGTAAGGATTCTTGACATTGGTGACCTCACTGTGTCTCTTGCTGCTGCTCTGATTGATGCGTTTTGAGTGCAGGGTGATCCAACTACCTGTGGTTATATTCGCCCTGAGGTGCAGAATGTGAAGTTGGAAGCACAAGAACACCGACCGAAGGCTAAGAAGGAGGCATCAGGTGACTGTTGCTCTAAATTGGAAGCAGAATTGCAAGAGTTGAAGCAAACACTTGATAGTGTTGTAGCTGAACTTTGGAAACTAGAGTCGAAGTCTGCAGAGCCGATTCGTGAGCCGATTCATGAGCCGAAGCAAATTGTGTTCGATTATTCTGTTTTTTGGGCTTTGTAGGTGTTCAGATTGGTGTTGTGGTTGCCTGTATGTGGAAGTAAACAACTAATGTTTATGTTAGTTAGCCAATGTGTGTGTGAGTTAGCTCTTGTGTGTCCGTGTGGTTGTGTGTGAGTTATGTGGCCGATAGGATGGATCATGAGATGGACAAGCTTATCGTTCTGGTACAGCTGCTGGTGGTGCTGTGTTTAGTAATTGCAGTCCCTAGTTCTTTTAGTCGTGGTAGTGCTTATTAGCAAGTGAAGCATGTGTTGTAATGATATCTAAGTCCTATGTAATGAAGAAGATGTTTTCCTGGAATCATGAGTCATTTTTCACTTGTTTTATGCAGATCATGTGGTCTGATTTTGACAGAACCTTGTCTGAATTTAGACAAAATTTTAACAGGAATTTGCTTGAATTTGGACATAATTTCAATTGAATTTGGAAAGAATTTTGACACAATTTTATGATCACAATAATATTCTAGAAATATAGTAGATTTCATAAAGGTTCACACAATACATAGGTACCATTTAAGTTACAATAATGTAGTTTCAAATAAATTAACTAAAGTCCAGATACATAAAATAAGGTCGAGATACAATTTCATGATCGAGATACATGTCAAGATACATAGAATAAATAAGGTCCAAATAACATTCCAAACACAAAGCATCAATTGGTTTTCAGTTTTTTTGGCTTCAGTTTTTTTGGTGGGATCCTCTTTTGCACTGTCTTGTTTAGTGAGGCAGCAATGATATGATCGACACCTTCACCTAGCAGGGTTTGGAGTCGGCTGCAATAAAACTACCACTATGAGTCATTTGTTGCTCTTGTGTACAAGTATAAAAGAATGAGAATTAATGTGTTGCATACCCTCTTGTCACCCTAATGGGGATGTTCTGTATGATCTGGTCCCTTGTGAGCCTTGTGGGGCTGGAGAGTGCATTTGGGGCTTGTGTAGCCATTTCTTGGTCATTGAAAGCATTTGGGGCTGGTGGTGCCATTTCTTGGTCATTGAAAGCATTTGGGCATGCAACTATTTCTTGATCATTGAAAGCATTTGGGGCTGGTGGTTCAGTAGCAGTATCCTGAGATTTCCCTCCCTTCTTTGCTCTCTTTGTTGGGATCTTTGCATTCTCATCATACTTTGTTGTATTTTTTCTTGGCTTTCTTTTCCTGAAAATTTAGAAAAAAATATTTAAGTTAATGAGCACAGCAAGTCAGGACAGCAAGTAAATATAGCAGGTCTTACCTTTTCTTAGTTCCATTAAGATGGCATTTGTAGCTTGTTTCACCATGGCCCAATTCTCCACATCTCTTGCACTTCCTTTTGCCTATAATAATTGTTTTCTTGCCCTTTTGTGCCTCATTTGCAGCTTGTTTATCTGCCTCATTTGCTACTTTCTTGGCTGCCTTCTTTCCTTTGCCGCCGCCACCTTCAAGGAAGCTTTTGATCCTAAGTTTTCTATACCTACCAGCAAGATTCTTGTCAAGGGGTGCCTTAAGCCCAAAAGGCAAATCAACATCTGGCCATTGTGTTCTATTAGGAAATGGCTCTATAAGTCTCTTATAAGCTGCCTTGAACCTCTCAACAGAGTAATACTCGTGCACAAAATCCTCCATATGTACATTAGTAGACTGTACACTCGTAATCAAAGCCAAAGCATGCTGGCAAGGCTTATTAGTATGCTGCCACTCAAGAAAGATGCACTCATGCAGATAAGACTTAACAACATGTCTACTATGAGTGTTTGTGGTGTCCCAAATCTCTGCTGCAGCACTACCACCGTCTACAATAGTCAAAGTGCCCAAGTTTTCTAGTTCTTGTTTAACTGCTGTATGACTGCTGGGAGGATCTTCCCACTAAGCCTTTCTGAAAATTTTCTCCTTTTCGCCCACAGCACCATAATCATCTCTCTGAGTTTGTCTGCAAGCTCAACAACAGGAAGGTCTTTCCGGTCCTTGATCCAATTGTTAAACACTTCATCAAGGTTATTAGTGATATAATCACATTTAATCTTAGGATTGAAGACAGATCTCATCCACAACTTATAATGGTGAGCCTCCATCCAAACCAACACTTGAGGACTAGCATCGGTGATTGACTTATAAAAATAATTGAAAACTGATTCTCTATAAGCTATAGCTGCAGGATACATCTTAGAGAATACATCACCACCAAGCATTTTAATAAAATTGTTCATTAGATGTCTAAAGCATTCCCTATGTTCAGCCTGCGGAAACACTTTCTTAACTGCATTTTCTAAACTTTTGCATGCATCTGACAAAATAGGTAAAACAGGAAGATCTCCTATGACCTTATGCAACTGAGTCATAAACCAAGTCCAGATATCTGTTGTCTCACCATCAATAAAGCCAAAAGCAACTGGGTATATCCAGTTGTGACCATCTATACCACAAGCTGCAGCTAAATGATCATTCCATCTACCATTAAGTACACTAGAGTCTATGCTAAGGTATGGCCTGCATCCTTTAAAAAACCTTCAATGCAAGGTTTTAATGCATAGAAAAATCTATGAAAATAGAACATGCCGTCTACCTCTTTAATACCAATCTCAATAGTACTACCTGGACACCTCTTCAGGACCTCTACCCTCCAATTGAATAGCAGCTGAAAGCTCTCTTCCCATTTGCCATACAATTCTCTCAAAGCAATTTGCCTACCTCTACAATCAGTGTCATAATAAATTATACACTTGTGCTCATCCTGTAAAGTGTCTTACAGTTCCTTTGGGCTCATAGTTGTTTTCTTCCTAAGATGATGTACTGCCTTTGAAGCAACCCAAGCACTGGTTGGTGTAGTAGTCTTTCTCCTAGCACTTGATTCACGTGTATGCTCATCAATAACCTTTGTCCCTGCAACAAAAAATAATTAGTCAAGGCAAACAATATAGAAGGACAAAAAACATTGCCAGTCTAAAGTTATTGAAGGAAAAAAATTAACGGAACGCAAAATACAAGTTAGTACCATAACGGTGCACCCTTCAGGCTGTCTACGCCCAACAAGATGCCAAGGACAATCTTCTCCGTTGCAATCAGTAATGTATCTAGTTAGATTTGCTTTGACAATGTGTAGTTCAAACTCTTTATTTATAGCAAATTGTCTGAAAACCAATCTAAACTCCTTAATGTTAGGATAAACTGTGCCAAGATCCATACTGGGCTGATTTTGATCATGCACCACAATCCTCTCCCCTAGTAAGTAGTCATCAACTTCAATGGCTGCCCCAGTTGTATCAACTTCCTCAGTCCTTTGTCGAGTATCATCGTTTTGTTGACCGTAGCCTTTACTGTCTGCCTTCCTTGCCTTATCAGCCTCCTCATCCTCAGCCCTAAACCCCAACAGTTCATACATCACCTCATCATTAACAATCTCAACTCTTCCCTCTTCATCTCGACTTTCCTCGATGCGTAGCGTATCCCAATCAACAAGAGATGTCTGCATATGTTGTGCAGGAGGTTCTACCAGTGCTAAGCTAAGCTTAGGCTCCCCATCGAGTCTAGTACAAAAAAAGGTGGCACATTTAGATTACCACCACATCTACACTAGTCAAGTCTCATCTAGACGATTGGGCACAGTTAGATTACCACCACAGCAACAATACGTACCCTTGGATGAGATCTGGCAAGTTCTCCTCTATCCAGCACTTGGAGCAGCGCCGGCGTCGGCCGGCAGAGCCGGGACGCCTGGCTGGCTTCGGGGAAACAGCCCAGGAGGTGGCCTGCCGTCGACCGGCGGCGGCGGCGGGAGCTGTTCCCTCTCCTCGCTTCACCTAGTGACAACGTCTCCGTCTCGTCTCTCTCCCGTCCGTGAACGACCGTGAATGAAAAGGAAGGGATAAGGCCGAGGGGCAAAACGGGAAGAAAAATATGCCGCGACAAAAAAAAATTTGACAATAAATCCGTCGCATGACATTTTAACAGGTGTGTCTCGTTTGATAATGGTAAACGGGTGAATCCCATTTACGGAATGGCAAAAGTGCGAAGCCCACTTTTTTATAACGACAGAATCGCCACGGGAATCTGGCCTCTTCAACGTGCAGATGTGTGGTGGATGAATTCAAATTCGGGACAAAACGATCCCCACACGATCTGCAGCACAGGTGTTTGTCTGTCTCCTCGTTTTATCCACGTTTGTCTCCACGCGCTTACCTTTTCCGTGGAATTTGAATTCGTATATGCGTCACCTGCAAAGTTTCAGAGCCCCACGTTGAGATCTTAAGCTCTGTTTATTTTCTCTGCCGCTGTCTGCCACGTGCTCGCTCCAACGGATCGAGGCGCAATCCAGTGCCGCCCACGGCCCACCCGCAGACCCGCTGGTGTAGTGGTGTGCCTGCGGTCGCTGCCCATGTACTTTTGCAAGCCCAGCGACTGCGTGAGAAAAAAATTTGTCGCACAAGAACCTGGTGTACGGCACCGTTCGTATGCTGGATTGTTTCTTTGTTTCTTCTAATTGTAAGGTGTAACCACCACATCGCCTGTGCTCTAAGATGTATTCCATCCATCCCAAAATAAATGCACATCTCAAGTTTAATTAAATATAAAAAATATTTATATTTATATTTGTAAATAAATTTATTATAAAAATATACTCCATGACCAATCTAATGAAAACATTGCACATCAATATTTAGTCAAATTTTAAAATTTTGACTTATCGATAAATGAGATGTGCATCTATTTTATGACCGAGGGAGTATAAGATAGGCGGTGATTGAGCGGTGTCGCGCGCCAGAGCATCGCCACATAGATTTTTTTTCCTACTATCAGGCCTCCACAACTTGTAAGGCCCTGTTTGATCACATAACTAACAACTAGTTGACTAATGTTTAGTCCCTACGTATCCAAACAGGCGCATTAATTGTTAGTTCACTAGTTGTAGACTAGTTGCTAGTTCACTATTTCTCTTATAGGAGCTAATAGAACTCACTATTTCTTTTATAGGAGCTAATAGAACTCTAGTTGGTCCATCCAAACAGACCCTAAGCTGCCTAGCTGCCCGTCGCCGCATCACGGACTTGGCCCAATTGGACACCAACTCACAGCAGTGCCAGCCAGCCCAATAGTATTGGACTAGGCCTAGGCCTCTGGTCGTTTAGCCCATGTGTGCAGGACTGAGAGGACTCCCTCTCTCCTGGACCAAGCTTGCTGCAATGGTAGCAAACGACATGGGACAACCTTGAATTGGCAACTTGCATTTGACACTTGAATGCAGATTCTTCGTTTTAAAAAATCCATACCAGAGCCACCTCGTCCTATCAAGGCCAGCTAGTAATAGTTAGCTGCTAAAAACTAGTCCAGTTAGATTTAAATAAATCAAGCTAATAGCTAACCGATCAACTAATCGATAATTGGGCACTCATCTAACTTAGCCAAACAACTATCTCATTAATTAGGTATAGCTATTTGACAGTTAATTGGCTGAAAATGGTTACTGCATCAAATTCATTACTGCTTGGCCAGGAACCCTCAATCACTGCCGGTTTGGCTCGGCGATGGAGAAAGTGGACGTTTGAAATGGAGTACATCACCGTCGGTTTGCAAACTCGTGCTGGTATGCAAATAAATTTTTTTTAAAAATACTAGACGGCTCATGCCGCCGTCATATCGTTATCGTCGGCCTGGAGGGGGTGGGCTTGCCGAATCTGCCGTTGCACCTGGAGAAGGGGGCTCCTGCTACCTGGACCCGCCACCCGCCTAAACCTGCCACCTAGAGAAGGAGAGGTGAGCCCCGCTGCTACCGCACCTAGACAAGGAGGGTTGGAACCTTGCCGCTAATATTTCAACCACCTACTAGCTGGTGAGATCCAAACAGTTTGCAGCTAATAGCTAGCCAGGTAATTTTAGCTAGGAACTATTACCTATTAATGGACCTAAACACCCCCCTAAGAGGTGTGTGAGTCAACCTAGCTTATAGTTAGCTACTAAAAGCTAGCTATGGTTGACCCAAATGTGTCTAGTGAATAGACCAGTTAACAACTACTCCCTCCATTCATACCATTCATACTATTGGATATATATTGATGAACTAATTTAGAAAGCGCCTGAAAATAAACAAAAAATAATATTCATTGGACGTTATGCAAACCATATATATTCCTAGCTAGACGAACTTAGCAACATGCACATATCACGTGCGCAGATAAAACAACGCAACTGCATTCAGCGTTACAACTTAGGAAGAAGGCAATGCTAAAAAAAAACTTAGGAAGAAAGCATTTTCCACTGTCGTCCGGCTCTCTTCTTGCCACCGGTAACGGTGTAAAGGAGAAAGCGAGGTGCCCTTTTCTGCCAGGTCACGCGGAAACAGGACACGAGCCGCGCGGGCCACGGCACGGTATCCCCTATCGTAGCGTGGGACTCGCAGTACGCGCTGTTCAGCTGTTATTTGGATGGACATGATCAGCGGCGGATCCAGAAAAATTTTTAGGGGCTGAATAAAGGTGTGACATCAACATATCTCCGAATCTTAAGTCTTAGCTCTATCTACACCATAGAAATTTGCCTAAAAATTCACGGGACTCCAGGGGCTCCCGTTGAATCCGCCACTGGACGTGGTCATCAAGGCGGCAAGCTGTGTTAAGAATTAAGATACGTACATGGCGAGCGAGCGAGCAGCTGTGTTTGGACTCTGCGTTAGATTATCACGGATCGATCGTCACAACCTACGGCAGCAGGTCCTCAGCACGGTACGAAGCGAACCCGGCCGTGTGGTTAAATACGCACCCCGCGCGGTCCCGCCACCACACCACGCAGAGCTGAGAGCACGCAGCAGAGCAGAGCGCGGGCTCTCTCCGCCAGGGCACTCACTGCTAGTGCTAGTCTACTACTACCACTCCGCAGCGGAAGAGAGACGCGTCGCCATGGCCAACAACGGCTTTGGCGTGCAGGGGAACGCGGCGGCCGGCGCGTGGTCCTCCGGCCTCTGCGACTGCTTCGACGACGTCGGCGGCTGTAAGTCGTCGTTCAACCCAACATTATTAATTATTCCGGCCGCCTTGCTTGTTGTTCGCGAGCTTAATTGGCCGAGACAGAGCTCTCTCTGATGCGCGAGATCGATCGTTCGTGCAGGCTGCCTGACGTTCTTCTGCCCGTGCGTCACCTTCGGGAGGATCGCCCACATCGTCGACCAGGGAACCACCTGTACGTATCGAAGTCGAACGAAGCTAGCTACTCTGAACAATTAACGGACTCAACTAATCCTCCGGCAGGCCGCCGGTTGCTTCCTTATAATTTGCTAATATACGTATATCTGATGCAGCGTGCTGCGTGGGCGGGTCGCTGTACATGCTGCTGACGGCGGTGACGGGGCTGGGCGCCTGCCTCTACTCCTGCATCTACCGCTCCAAGCTGCGGTCGCAGTACGGGCTCACGGAGCAGCCCTGCGCCGACTGCTGCGTCCACCTCTGCTGCGAGGCCTGCGCGCTCTGCCAGGAGTACCGCGAGCTCAAGGCCCGCGGCTTCGACATGTCCGCCGGTACGTACGTGCGTGATGCTTCCATAGCTGCAAGCCTGTACGTAACCTTTCACGCGGCGTTCTGAGGACGACGGCGTACTCCCTCCCTCCCAAAATATGCTTAGTTTTCGTTTTCTGAAGAATAACTTTGACAAAATATATATTAAAAAATATTAATATTTATGATACATAATTGGTATCGTTGAAAAGATATTTAAATCTAGTTTTTAATAAATTTATTTAAAGATATAAATATTGCACGTATTTTCTATAAACCGAGTCAAACTTGAGACAAGGAAACCAAAAGACGTCACATAGTATGGTAGCTATGGCACGCCAACGCGCGCCGCCCGTAGCGGCGCGTGGTGGATGGGTTTGGTCACTTTCTTTTTGTTTCGAATAGCTTGGGAAGGGCTGAGTTGGTGTTTTGAATTTGTGGGGGTAAAGTTTAGGGTTGTTATATGGGGGTGTCATGTGGGAGTGTTCGGATAGTAGCAATAAAATAAATTACAGAAGTCCTCAGTAATCCGCGAGACGAATTTATTAAGCCTAATTAATCTATCATTAGCACATGTTACTCTAGCACCACATTATCAAATCATAGTCTAATTAGGCTTAAAAAATTCGTCTCACAAAGTAGTCGCAATATGTGCAATGAGTTATTTTTTAGTTTATATTTAATACTCTACGCATATGTCCAAATATCCGATGTGATATGAACTAAATTTTAGAGGGAGGAAGTAAACAAGGCTTGACTCGTACTCCCTCCGTCCCTAAATGTTAGTCGCCACGATTTACGTGTCCATAACTTTAACTCGATTTATAGAAAATACGTGCAACATTTCTATCTTTAAATAAATTCATTAAAAAACTAGATTCAAATATCTATCTAATGAAACTAATTATGTATCATTAATATTAATATTTTTTAATATATATTTAGTCAAAGTTGTTTCTTGGGAAACGAAAATGACAGTCATTTAGGGATGGATGGAGTATAGTCGTATGTGCATCAGTTTCTGGTGTTGCGTCAGGGTGGTTGTGGATTATAAGTCGACCGATGCTGGTTTATTACGAGAGAAAAAAAACACTGCATCATGCTAAGCATGGCTCACTGACGAGATTTCACGTCTCTGTTTCTCTCGCATGCACGCAGGATGGCAAGACAACATGGAGAGGATGGGGAAAGGCGCCGCGACCGCCCCGCCGCAGCCGAACCCGGGGATGTCGCGTTAGTGAAACATAACTGAGTATATATATACGCGCGAGGGTGCCAGATGTGTACGTATGTACCTGCGTACCTGGCCATCCATGTCAAGCTGCCGACCTCTACGTCTACATCGACCTTGTCGTTGCGTTTCTTGCTTCAAGCTATGTATTTTGGTGGTGCAATAATCGTTCGCAGTCCCTATATTTATACATTATTATCAAGATCTGTTTGCTTTCTATAGAAAAGAAGAGGCCAAGTAGTGCATTTGGTCCAGAATCTATTATCTATGTATGGTTTTTTATTCCCCCGAGGAATAAGAAGTATGTTCATATGGACAAGTTTTCACTTCCTTTTAATTTTAATAATAACATCATCAGTTGTGCAGCTACACGAATTTTGCTTGGCGCCTACACGAATTGTTTGCTTATCCATTCTTTTGCAGCTGCTGCAACAGCCGCGGCTGTGAAGTAGCTGTAAGGAATAGGCTTTCGAAAATTTTAAACATATGGGCTGTTTCGTTGTTGCCTTCAAGCTTGAACAAGCCAAGTCAATATTAACCAACCTAGTAATTTTGGCCGCAGTTTTGTTTCTAGGCAAAAGTTTGGTCGGTCCAAAGTGGCCAGGGGTGTCTGGATCCTCACGAGGACACGATTAAACTTTAGTCTCTATCACATCAGATGTTTAGATGTCAATTAGAAAGACAAAATATGGATAAATTATAAAACTAATTGCATAAGTTGTATCTAATTCATGAGACGAATCTATTAAGTCTAATTAATCCATTATTTGACAATGTGGTGCTACGATAATCATGTGCTAATCCACATAACTATATTTTAATATAAAAAGTATGATATCTGAACCCTGCATGTCAAACTCATAAGCATAATAAAATTCGGTATGACTGCCAACCAAACGGTAGTTTTCTCAACACTGATATTGTTTTTGGCTTAGCCACCATCCAAACAAGTTTAATATGACCAAATTTTGGTGATACTCTGATATCGCCCGCCATGGCCAAAATTTGGGCATGTTTGATTGGCTTCCTAAATTTGCCAAGCCAATGATTTGGCAACCAAAAGTTGTAAAAAATTAGACAAAAATCTTTGCCACGGATTTGACAAGATAAATGTGAGGTATTGATAAATTTTGATAACCAACCAAATAGAGGCCAAAAATTTGGCTTGTCCAAATTTAGGCAGCTAAAATTTGGCTACCACCGTTGGCTAGTTAGGACTTGTATCCAACACTCCCATCAGTAGCTAACGTTTATCATGTACTCATGTCTTGGTGAGAGAAGCAGCTAACATTTATCATGTACTCATGTCTTGGAGAGAGAAGCTTGGCGGCACCAAAGAGCCTCTGACCTTGAGACGTTAAAGACTAAGACCATGCAAATCATGGATTTTTTCGGACATGCTAGCACCTAAACATCGATCCGGCGCTAACGTCCTGAACGTGTGCTCTGCACAGAGGAGCGAAGCGCCTAGAGCGTCGGGCTCGCTTCATGCGCCGCACCAGCAGTGGGCTCACGTCGTCCGGACGTCTCCCACGCCACCTTGAACGTTGTCCCGCGCTGCCAGGCCGCTTCCCATGGGAATCCCATGTGCAACACCCGATCAACTTTTCAAATATCCAGATGCATCAGTTGTAACATACAAAAGAAGACGAGATGAAACACATGAAACAAACGTCTCGAAACACTTGCGAAAACGCCTGAAAAACATTTGAAAATCATTGCAAACATATGCAACATCCAGATGAAACACTTGCAAAAACATACGTATGAAACACCTAAAACACTTGAAACATATGCTTGCAACATGCATGTATATACAACATTCAGATCTACTTTTGCAACATCCAGATAAAACACTTGCAACATACGTCTAGAACAGATGAAATATTTGGAACATACACTTGAAACATACGTGTATAGCCATTACAATATATGCAACATGTCGATCTATTTTTGTAACATCGATATACAATACTTGCAACATACCTCTGAAACACTTGAAACATGCTCTTGCAACATGCGATTTTCACCCTTCTTCTTCTTCCGTACGACGCAACACAGAGTAGGAGAACGACCGATTCTGGAAATCTACATCCCGGCCACCGTCATCGTAGCCGCTGCAGGGAGAGTCGCCCCTGCTGGGGGAGTCGCTCCTACCCAATCTCGTACGCATCTGCTGGAGACTGTCGCCGAGGAGGCAGCGAATCGGGCGCCATAGAGAGAGAGGAAGGCCGATTGGTCGCGAGAGAGGGGCGGAAGCGGGCGTGGGGCGCTATGCAGAATGGAAACCACACATATTAGTCAGTGAGCACGGTGGAGAGGGAAGAAGCCACTCGACGGCGCTCAAGTGTGGTGGGGAGGAAGGACGAAGGTAGGCAGGTGGCCGTAGCCCTAGGCAAAAAATACCAAGAACTGAACCGAAAATACCGAGAACCAAAGCAAAAATACCGAAACAGAATTTTTCGGTACCCTATTCGGTTCCTAATTCCCAGGAACTGAAATTACCGAGGTAAATTTGGTTCTTTACCTCGGGGAACCGAATGACCTGAAACGTGTTGAGTTTGAGTGTTGTTATATTATTGATTGTACTATTGTATACTATTATATTATGTATTTATGGTACTCACTCTTATAGTATTGTGAACTTTTATATGTATATTTATTTTGCACTATTATTCTCTACGAAATCCAGTCAAAATTAGCTTTTGAACCTGCTATTACATGTCTCTGTGATCAGTTCGGTACTGTTCGATAAATACACCCTCGGGCTTCAGTCCTCGCCACTGTCGTAGCGTCCGCCATGACGAGGGTGGTAGCCGCGGCTTGCCCCCTCCCTCACATCGCCGCGGGTACGTCTACGGGCATCGACGGTGTCACGCGCATCATGGTGGCGGCCGAGAAGCTCATGCACCGGGACCGCGGTGCATGGCCTGCCGCCTTGCGGCGCCTGGTGGACTGATGCATCCTTGTCGGGTCTCTCTGAGGGCGTGCGCTGGCTGGCGTCGAGCTCGCGTCGTCGGGACAGCGAGCTCTCGGCCTGCTGCGCCGCCACATGCTCGAGTAGCGTGCGAATTTCGCTATGGTGAAAGGTCCTAATGGCTAGAGAGGGTGAATAGCCTATTAAAAATTTCTACAAAAACACTTAGCAAACTGTTGCGCTAGCCTACTAAAAAGCAAACCACCTACCACAATTCTAGTTTCTATAGTCTCTATCCACACAATGGCTATGTTACTACACTAAGTTAGTGTGCTCTCAAAGGCTAACTAAAGAGCAACACTAACCAAACTAACAAGCGCTCATGACTAGCTACACTAAAGAGCTTGACAACTAGTTTGCGGTAATATAAAGAGAGAGAGCAAGATGGTTATACCATCGAGTCGAGGAATGAACCAATCAATCACAAGAATGAATACCAATGAAGACCATTCACCTCGGAATCAAATGATGACACAATGATTTTTTACTGAGGTTCACTTGCTTGCCGGTAAGCTAGTCCTCGTTGTGGTGATTCACTCACTTGAAGGTTCACGTGCTAATTGGCATCACACGCCAAACCCTCAATAGGGTGCCGCACAACCAACACGAGATGAGGATCACACAAGTCACGAGCAATTTACTAGAGTACCTTTTGTCTCTCCACCGGGGAAAGGTCAAGAACCCCTCACAATCACCATGATCGGAGCCGGAGACAATCACCAACCTCCGCTCGATGATCCTAGCCGCTCCAAGCCGTCTAGGTGGCAGCAACCACCAAGAGTAACAAGCGAACCCCGCAGCGAAACACGAACACCAAGTGCCTCTAGATGTAATTACTCAAGCAATGCACTTGGATTCTCTCCCATTCTCACAAAGATGATGAATCAATGATGGAGATGAGCGGGAGAGCTTTGGCTAAGCTCACAAGGTTGCTGTGTCAATGCAAATGGCCAAGAGAGTGAGCTAGAGCTAGCCATGGGGCTTAAATAGAGAGCCCCCATGAATAGAGCCGTTGGCTCCTCGGTCTAGTGAAACACGGGCTGATCAGACATGCCAGCCAGGTTGACCGGACGCAAGACCCTAGCGTCCAATCACCCGATGCTTGCCATGTGTCATCAGCCTCAAATGCTAAGCGCCGGATCTTAATGGCTAGACAGCTTCGCGCTACATGTTAAGTTGCGACCGGACGCACTGTAGTGTAGGATTGGATGCACTGTCGCTTGGCATTCGGTCACTTCTAGTAAGGTTCCAGAAGTAGAAATTCACGACCGGACGCGTCCGATGGCTCGTGACCGGACCCAGGCCAGCGTCCGGTCAACTCTGCTTCTCTCTGTTGCTTGCGTTAGCGTACGTCACTAGGTGACTGGATGCACCCTCTGCGCTTCCGGTCCCTCTTTCTCTTCAGCGTCCGGTCAAGGGACCGAGGGCGGCCTTCCTTTGTGTGCCACCGACCGGGATGGGGTTATAGTTCGGTCCTTCGCCAAAAGGCAAAGTCCGGTCAATACGAAACTTCTCCTTTTGACCCCGAACTTTACCACCCTTGATCAAATGTGCCAACCAACAAGTGTATCATCTTGTGCACATATGTTAGCATATTTTCACAAATGTTTTCAAGGGTGTTAGCACTCCACTAGATCCTAAATGCATATGCAATGAGTTAGAGCATCTAGTGGCACTTTGATAACCGCATTTCGATACGAGTTTCACCCCTCTTAATAGTACGACTATCGATCCTAAATGTGATCACACTTACTAAGTGTCTCGATCACTTAAACTGAAAAGCTCCTATCAATTTCACCTTTGCCTTGAGCCTTTTGTTTTTATCTTTCTTCTTTTCCAAGTCCGAGCACTTGATCATCACCATGACATCATCACCATCATGTCATGATCTTCATTTGCTTCACCACTTGGAGTAGTGCTACCTATCTCATAATCACTTTGATAAACTAGGTTAGCACTTAGGGTTTCATCAATTTACCAAAACCAAACTAGAGCTTTTAATCTCCCCCTTTTTGGTAATTGATGACAAC